ACCTCCTCACCGAATACCGCGACTGCTTTGCCACGTCGTCAAAGGTGCGCCAAACCACCGTTGTGAAGCACCGCGTCGTTACCGAGGACGACGCGCGGCCTGTGCATCGGTCACCGTACAGAGTCACCGCTAAAGAAAGGGAAGTGATCCAGGAGCAAGTTCAAGAGATGCTGAACGACGACATAATCCAACCTTCAAGCAGTCCCTGGGCCTCTCCAGTCGTACTGGTTAATAAGAAGGACGGAACACTTAGGTTCTGCGTGGACTACCGGCAACTGAACGCGGTGACGAAGAAAGACGTCTATCCGCTCCCCCGCATCGACGACACGTTAGACCGGCTGCGCCACTCCCGATACTTTTCATCGATGGACCTGAAGAGCGGCTACTGGCAGATCGAAGTCGACGAGCGGGACCGAGAGAAGACAGCTTTCGTCACGCCGGATGGGCTGTACGAGTTCAAGGTGATGCCCTTCGGACTGTGCACGGCGCCAGCAACTTTCCAGCGTGTCATGGACACTGTACTGGCAGGACTGAAGTGGCAGAGCTGTCTCGTCTACCTCGACGACGTCGTAGTGTTTTCCAACGACTTCGACGAGCACCTGCGACGACTACAGGCTGTTCTCCAAGCCATACGAACCGCCGGACTCACCCTGAAGCCGTCAAAGTGTCGGTTCGCCTATGACGAGCTGAAGTTCCTAGGTCACGTGGTCAGTAACGAAGGCGTTCGCCCCGACCCAGAGAAGACTCGCGCCGTCGCAGCATTTCCAGCGCCGACGGACAAGAAAGCCGTGCGAAGGTTCCTTGGGCTATGTGCCTACTATCGGCGCTTCGTTCGAGACTTCGCAAGGATTTCCGCACCGCTCACAAGCCTCACGAAGGACGCCGAGAAGTTCGAATGGGCCGAGGAGCAGCAGCAGACATTTGACGAGCTGAAGCGACGACTGCAGGCGCCTCCTGTTCTTGGACATTTCGACCAGGATGCGGAAACCGAGATTCACACGGACGCAAGTAACGTAGGACTTGGCGCGGTACTGGTTCAAGTACAAGAGGGCACCGAGCGAGTCATCGCTTACGCAAGTCGGACATTGTCCAAGGCGGAGCGAAATTACTCCACGACTGAAAAAGAATGCCTTGCGGTCGTCTGGGCGATCACGAAGTTTCGTCCGTACTTATACGGAAGCCCGTTCCGCGTAGTCACGGACCACAATTCGCTCTGCTGGCTGGCGAACATCAAGGACCCGTCAGGACGCCTTGCACGATGGAGTCTCCGACTACAAGAGTTCAACATGACCGTAGTCTACAAGTCGGGCCGCAAGCACAGCGACGCCGACTGCCTGTCCAGAGCTCCCGTCGAAACACCCTCCGACAGCAGCGACGACGATGACGGCGAGTGTTTCCTGGGCGCAGTGAACAGCGACGACATGGCCCGACGTCAACGAGACGATCCTGAGCTCGTGCACTAATAGAGCACGTGGAAGGGCGTGGGAGTGCCATACCACGCGCTTTTTCACGAGCCCTGCCGACCTTCGCCATTAGACAAGGAGTTCTCTACAAAGAGAACTTCGGCAACAACAACTCCACGTGGCTGCTGGTAATCCCGACCGACCTTCGAGAGGAGGTCTTCCAAGCCTGCCACGACGACCCGACGTCCGGACACCTTGGTTACAGCCGGACACTGGCCCGTATTCGTGAAAAGTATTACTGGCCCAAGCTCCCCAAAACCGTCCACCTATACAGACGATCATGCCATGAATGCCAGCGACGAAAGAAACCTCCAACGAGGCCGGCCGGACTCTTGCAGTCAATTCCTCCGCCAACGGCACCTTTCCAGCAGATCGGAATGGATCTACTTGGGCCTTTTCCGCCGTCGACGTCAGGAAATCGATGGATCATCGTCGCCACAGATTATCTCACGGGGTACGCCGAAACGAAAGCCCTTCCTTTCGGAACTGCTGTGGAAGTTGCCAAGTTTTTCATTGAATCCATTGTCCTCCGGCACGGCGCTCCCGAAGTCCTGATCTCAGACCGTGGATCCTCGTTCATGGCCCAGCTGACAGCAGAAGTCCTTCGTCTCAGCCACACCAGCCATCGTCGCACCACGGCGTACCACCATCAGACCAACGGGCTGACGGAAAGACTCAACAAGACCATCGCCGACATGATTTCCATGTACGTCGACGTGGAGCACAAGACATGGGACGAGGTGTTGCCGTATGTCACCTTTGCCTACAACACGGCCGTACAAGAAACCACCGAAGTGACACCCTTTCAACTGGTGCATGGGCGGAAGGTAACGACAATGCTGGACGCTATGTTACCCCACGAACCGGCTGTCGACGCAAGCGACGACGCCCAGGTGGTTGCCCAAAGGGCAGAAGAAGTCCGTCAGCTCGCCAGACTCCGGATTCAAGCCCAACAACGTCTCGACACTGGCCGCTACAACCTTCGTCGTCGGGACGTCCACTTCCAGCCCGGAGACAGGGTGTGGGTGTGGACACCGATTCGCCGCCGCGGCCTCAGTGAGAAACTCCTGAAACGTTACTTTGGACCTTACAAAGTGCTTCGTCGACTCGGGGACCTGAACTACGAGGTGATGCCCGACGGAACAAGAGCATCATCACGCCGCCCACCATGACCGGAAGTCGTCCACGTCGTGCGACTGAAGCCGTACTACGCTAGATAGGACTGTGGACCTTATTTGTTCCAAAGGACTCTTTAGTTTACCGTTATTTTTATTTGTTTGTTCTTGGGTTGCATCGGGTCGATGCACTTTTTAAAGGGGGGAGTAATGCCGCGCACGCAGCTGGCCAAGTAGGCAGCGCGCGCGTGGCCTAACGATTATCGCACTTGCACCCCACGCGAAAAGGTAGGGTTCGAATCCTGGGAGTGACGTGTCTTTTGTTTATTCCTGCAATTTAGTGTTCTGGAGAATTCGAGAATCATGTTGCTTGTTCCAGGCCCGAATTTTCTACGCGTCGAAGTTTCTACGCCGATTATTCCAGAAGACCACTCATGTACATAAGTAGCTCCGCGTGGCGAGCCACAGTCAGTCTCGCCCCAGCGTTCGACTCTGCTGCCACGCCGACTTCGACGCTCTATTATTATCTTTTGTACTCTTTTATTTTTGGCACAAGTTCGCCACATTAAACGTTTATTTCTTCCTGTTTATTTATCGTTTTTTAGTCGCCACCCGTGACAGTATTAATTTGGTCAACTGTTAAGGGGATAGTGTAATTTATAACCTACTCAACTATAATTTTCTCAGTGATGTTCAATGAACTATTTCTTTTTTTTTTGTAAGGGCATATAATTAGGACAGAAACAAACTTTTCAAAGTTTATCCGAAAAAAAAATATTTTTTTTGTGTGTGTTTTAAACGTTCCGTTAGTCGGAGCGGTCGGTGACCGCAGTGGCTGCTGTTCTACGTTTTTAATAACCGTCTTTTTTTTTTTCGCGAGCACGAGTTGGCGCCCAGCCAAGCCTTGCCGGTGGCAAGAAAGTCACAAGCGGATATGCAAGGTCGATGTCCAATGAAGCCAAAAGGGGAAGAAGCAAGGGTTTTACTACGTAGAAAAATTCGCCAATCGTGCTCCATAATTCTGTCTTTTCTGGAGTGAATGCCCTGGTTCGAAAACTTAACAAACCGAAAACAGCGTGAATATACCATTGTCTTCAAAAATATCACAAAGAAAAAGAAAAAAAGAGCCACACATAATTCCAGAGGGAGCCGGAAAAAGAATTAGAAAGAAATTGTACTGAAATTCTTGTTCCAGCAGCCAATGGTCAAGTGGGCACTGGACAGTTTTGATCGTACAAAAAGGAATGCGTTTTTTTTTAAATGTCTTCTTTACCTTCATTAGTGTAAACGTAGAAGCTCATCTTATTATTATTATTCTCGTCGTCCAAGTGATAGAAAGAAGTCACGCCCGTATTTTTTAGTGTCACTCAGTTCGAAGTGATAAACATAGTTGCTCGTATTATCAAATTACCCTATTTAAAAAATCAATGCAATATTGTTTTTCTCTTCGAGTGATAGCGATTCTTTCGGCTTTTACAACTGTCGACTCGAAGAGTGTCTTGTATCTGGTGTCTCACATAATTAGAGCAATGTTGCGATCTTATGTTTTATTTTTTTCTATAGGAGCTGTGGGACAATTTCACTGTTTTTTTTTTTAAACAATCTGGGAGTTGGTGTTTCGAGTTTTTTGAAGTAAAAAACAAGGAACCGCTCTTGCCTCCATGTCCTAATTTTATTTTAAAAATTCACGATGAATGAAGTTTCCGGCACCTCTCAACTCCTTCACCATCTTCCGAGTCGCGTGCTCTGTGACGTGAGAGGGGGACGCGCGGGGTTCCGGTGAAGCTCTCTCTCTACAGCCATCAGTGAGCAGCGAGAACTCACACGTTCGCGACCACGTGACCACGCGCTCGCGCAGCGCGGTCAACATGCAAAAGTAGAAAAGTTTCGTCCGGGTCCGGCCATCCCCGTCTAGCTCTGCCCCCGTCCCCTTGTGGCTTCTGGCGGCTGTTCGCGGTAGCTGATAGAGCTGACGGTTTTGTTGACCTGGGATGGATGGTGCCACTAAAACTCCGTATGATCGAAGTTTTGGTGATTATACCAGGTTTTTTACGCATTTATATTTATGTCGGGACGGCAAGATTTATAGAAAAATGACCTCTTATCGAGCTGGTATTTGAAGAACTTCCCATACTTTTAGAAGTCCCCTATTGACGTCACGCCACGTGGTTCTCAAGGTCGTCGCCCGCGGCTGCAGGTCAGGAAATACTCGAATTTCTGACTCACGATTACGCGGCGGAATCGCAACATTTCGAAGGAAGGAGATGTGTTTTCTGTCCTTTGTGACAAGATAAACAATGCTAAAAGTAAAAGATGCAAAATCTTTAATCGTTTTTGAAGGATGGTGTTAGTACATTTAAAGATGGTGTTTTTTTTTTTCATTAAATGCAAAGACAGTAATAGCGGTATTCCTTTTTTTCAGCCTTGCACTTCAATATTCTGGCGATTCAGCATACGTTCGTAAGGCGACCGTGGGTAAGTAAGAGACCATTTTAATGTTTAGAGCTTTGAAGCCTTTTTTGACTTCAATTTCCATCGAACGGAAACTAAGGTGAATTGGAAATTTCCTGTTCACTATCAACATTTATTGACTGCTAATAACGGTGTCTTAGGCTGCGTTTACATAGATACGACAGTAGCGCATCCAATCCAGTTAGCGTATCGAATCGTCCCATGTAAACGCCTCGATTCGATAGCCAAGCGCATCAGAGCGAGTCCAATTTGGTCCGTTGAAAGGGGGTGGTTTGAGATGATCAAGCCGTACCCAGACCACCATGTAAACTCTAGCGAATCGAATCGAGTGTCTGAAGGACGGGAGAAAGAGGAGAAGGAAAGAGGGGCGAAAGGCTAAGATGACCATCAAACTCCCCCTCCCCCCGCCACCTCCGTTTTCTGCACCAACCGCATCGTGGCCGATGGACTTCACTAATAGCCCCCCGTCCCCCCCCCCCCCTCCCTCCCTGTCATCGCGATATCCGGCATGGTAGGCAAAGCGGAAACGATCGGTTAACCGGAAAATCGGTGGTTAAAGTGGATTCCATGCGCTAACTTAATTCTATGCGCTACGTACGTCGCATCCATGTAAACGTAGCCTTATACAGGCTTCCCCACATCAAAATTATTGAAATAGGCGCTTGACTAAGGCTGACGTAAAATTAAAACTACATTAGAAAAACAGTTTAAATATGAATCATGATGTTTAAAACCAAGACTGTGGTGAGGAAAACAAAAATGAAACTTTGAAGTTGAAGAAAAAAAGCACAGAAGACTGTTTCAAACGGAGCTGAATCGTTGATTTTCTCTCTTTCTACCTTTCTTGTCACATACCCCTGAAAGACAGCAAATTCCTCTTTCGGATATACGCTTCATTCACAATGCACTGGTTGGACTTTGAGATACATATAAATCACCCACCGAATAACCTTTTACAGATGTCCATGGGGATTTATATCTCGAATTTAATTGTGCGCGTGTGTGCTGTGTGTTCGTTTAGGCAGCGGGAAGTTAGTAAGAAAATCCTTAGAATCCAAAAAAACTTGAAGATATTGATAGGGACGTCACAGACAGCTAGAGCTATGAAACAGTGCCATCGAAACACAAAAGAGACGTGAACGAGAATGAACACGGAGCCATATTCTGTCGCAGCAGGAAAATCTTCCCGTACAACGGGTTCTGCGGCACGCGTTTTATTGCCATTGTGGGCGGGCCTTAACAGCGCACTAGCGGTGCTGTTGCGAAGTATTCGAAGCAGAGAGCACGATAGCTTCTTCTTGCGCCAACTCGCCCAAGCACAAGTTTTACTTCTTTTACCGCGCACAAAAACGACGTTTTTAAGGCCTTATCAAACCAGACTTCTGCCTATCTTAAATACTCTACTCAAGATACTGTAGTTTAAATACTATCTGGAGTATCTTCGTATCTTGCAAATACTTTTGATCAAGAGTATTTGATACTCTAATTTAATTACAATTTCGGGTATCTTGTCTCTTGTATCTTAAATACATTTTTGACATTATGCCATTTTCCGAGTTTTTCGCTATGAAGCAGAGTAAGTGTGGCGCGAGCAAACGTGAACATTGTTTCGAACAACCAAATCCTGTTGCTAGCTCCGATAAGCTACGGTGACTTAGACTGAGCTCGTGAAAAGATAGTTTTTTTGCTGATTGTGACTCATGTTCCAGCCCGAATTTCGTACATTGAAGGTTTTCCCCTCGCCTTCCTAAAGGTGCTTTTTGTTTCCATAAGGTTTCCCCCCCAAAAATTCTCACACAAAAGGTGTGGTTTTACGGAAGTAAAGATGCTACCATGAGGCGTAACTAAAGCGCGAAACACATGTACGACGAAACCGTCCGATCCGACGTCCGACCGCGCAATACGACGGTCGGAGGCGAGGGTTTTTCACGCTCTCCGATGCTACGAAAACCCTCTCCTCCCAAGGTCATCCCGGCAGTCCGCACGTCGGATCGGACGGTTTCGTCGTACATGTGTTTCGCGCTTAAGACCGGGAAACGACCTACGACAACAATGCAGGCTTGAGTGACAAGAAATAAAAATAGAAGAAAATAAGAAGCGCACACGTGCGCGCGCACACACACACACACACACACACACACACACACACACACACAAACACACACACACACCACACACACACACACAGACATTTTTGTTTTGCTTGTATATTTGACCCCGCTAGGGCAAAACGTCAAGGTTTCTTTTTCTTTTCTTTTTGTCGTCAGTATGTCACCTATTGCTCTCGCGAACGCTGTCTGTAAGCGAACATTGGTAAGCAGAGAACAGTACAGGAAACAAACTAGGAGCTGGATAACCTCGCAAAATGCCAACAAAGCGTCTTTCAGCGTTGAGTGCCTTTCTGAACGCAACCCATTTGAAGAAGGTGCGACCACTGTGGTGGCTATTATGTGGGTTCTCTTTGTTAATTTATTCACTCATATCCGTATCCCAAGTTCGTTTATAGTGAACTCCCCATATAGAGAATATGGATTGTAGTTAAACGATGCGTCTAAGGTGCGCCGCAAGATGTGATATTCGGCGCTGTCACTATTGGCGAGGGACTCTAACCCGTTTGTTGTCTCCACACCTCGGTGTTTACCCAACCAAGGCCTGTGCACATGCCCACAGGCCTTGTGGGCATGTTCATGTCATCTTTTTTAATAGAGCGCGGGGCACAGTGTAATTTAAAAATGCCAGAAATTAGTAAAGTAACGAAATAATTGACGTTAAGCGCCGGATCTCTCCCGAAAGCAGTCGTCAGAGGATCCGTGCTTGACCCACTTGGGCGTTTGTGCTGAGCCGAGCACCATGCATGCTGCATTGTTCGTGCAGGCCGGAGTGGTAACAAAGGAGACTCCCTTTCCCTTCTCGGGAGAACACGAACCCCAGCCGAACGCTGACGCCGCGTTCGATTAAGTCAGCCGAGCGCTGAGTCATTGTATTTGTTGTCCCCATCCACGTAGTTCTAAAGCTAACCGCTTGGGGCACCACGGTCTGATCTCCTTCCCAATAGCTAAAGCGATCTCTTTCTTGTTGTCCGAGAAATGTTTTGTAACATCTATCAGTGATCAGCGATAATATAGTAAGGGTGCAGGCGAGCTGGTGAATGTTAACCATGGGGCGCGTGGCCGAATGGTTACCGCGCTTGGCTCTCGCGCGGAGGCTCCGGGTCCGATACCAGGGAGCGGACTCCTTTTTTCCTTATTTTTTTAACTTGACATTTTCGAAAGTTCGAGAACCTTGTCGTCTGATCGAGTGACGAATGTTCTACGCGCCGAACTTTCTACGCTGAATGTTCCAGAAACCCACGCGGGAACAAAAGGTACTCCGAGTGGCGGTCCGGAGTCAGTTTGGCCCCAGCGCTCGATCCTGCTGTTTCGCCGACATCAATGCCTGCGACGCTAGCCTTTCTTTATTTTGTTTTGGGCACAAGTTTGCCCATTGAACGTTTAGCTTCTTCAGTTATTCAGTGCCTCATCATTTGTCATTCATGACAATGTCCTGCTCGTTATAGTTGGACAGCATAAAATAGCCTCATGGTGCTTTCCTTTTCCGTTTTGTGTTGTTGCGTGATAATAAACCCTTCTCGTAAACCAGGTTTGCGCAGCTGTATAATTGTGTTTGCTACTGACGACGATACAAATTATGCAATGCGGAAGTATCTTCAAAAGTAATTGAGTTACATTTCTAAGTATTTGTACTTGACTCAAGACACTTTACCTTGAAAGTAACTTGAGGAGTTTTTTAAATAATTTATGAAGCCGGTATTTATCAAATTAACTTAAATACTTTTATCGAGTATTTTTTCCAACACTGTGTCAAACAAACAACACGCTAACCATGCATCTGTGGAAGGTATAGACCACTCCATTTAACGCTCTCTGGGCGGCACCATTTTGTTCGACCGCAGCGCCCTCTCGACATATCCGGGAAGTTCAGCGGGTTCGGCGGGGTAAAACGAGAGAGAGGGCACGCGCCCGACACCGCTAGCAGACAACAAACCGGGACGTTGCCGTTCTCCATCTTTGGGCTGTATCGGCGGGCAGTACGGAACATCGAACTCCCGCTCGTGGCTGCCGTTGTGAAGTGGTTCGCGTTCTTAGAATAGTTGTGGCTACTCCAAAATCAGCCTATAGCTCTCTGTTGTTCTAGTTCGGTAAATGATCAAGTAGCATATCTTTTTTCCGTTACTTAAATAGCAGTAGAGTCAGCCGGCAGTACTATTCTCAACCACTGCATATATTGTGAAAGGAGAGCACGTTTTTATTCATTATTTCAGACTTCCATTCATGGACGCTAAAGGCCTACACCAGTACGAACTTTGTATATTAAAAAGCGTGCAGCAACCGGATTTACTTTTCGCCGGAGAGACCAGCCAATCTGACAGAGTTTTCCCTATTTCTTTTTTATTTGCACGCAGGAAACAGCGGAATTGAACCCTGTTAGTCTTGTTTTATCTAGCATAGTACTACACGATAACTGGCATACTAAAATCTGCGCATCTGCGCTTGAAATTTCCAGATTGACGCGATTTTAAACAAAGTTTGCACGCCAGCCGGACGCTAGCTACAGCCCACTCGGCGGAGCAGACGAGATGCGGGTGAGAGGGGGAGTGCATTCTTTTCTCTTTTACCCTCTCTGTTATGACCGTAATGGAACGGTCTATTGGGGAGGAGGACAGACCGTGACGCCCCAAGCGGTTAACCTAACAACTACACGTATGGGGACAACAAATACAATGACGCAGCGTTCGGCCGACATAACCGAACGCGGCGTCAGCGTTCGGCTGGAGTTCGTGTTCTCCGGCGAGGGGGAGGAAGGGCTGTTTTGTTTCCACTACGGCCTGCATGAACAAGGCAGCATGGACGATCCCAGCTCAGCACAAAAGCCGAAGTGGGTCAAGCTCGCATTCTCTGAGGATAGATCCGGCACTTAACGTTGCTTCGTCGATTGTTAGCATT